AGTTGAGCAGCAGAACTATTTTTAATAGCAAAAAAAAAAGAAAGAAAGTGGTATAAATTCTTAACAATAAGGGAATTTTAAAGTGAGGTCCTAGCAAGTAAATATGCTATTGTGTTAATAATAGATACTCGGGATTAAAAAATGCGGGATCCTTTACTGAAACCATAATGTATGCTGCAAGTCATGTGTGTCCCCATTGAAGGCAACTCACATTTACAGGGTTTAAGAGGTTATTGGGGGTACCTTATGGTATAATGGGGACCTCAGTCTCCTCTCTCCTTCATCTCTGCCATCTCTAAGGCTTCACTTCTTTATGTCTGTGCAGCTTAATCTCCATCAAGAATGGGCTGCAATCTGTCAGTAGAACATTTTCTGCCTTTTCCCCTAATTAGCTATTGCCCTAGTAACCAGATAGGCCATCCAACCTTAGAGCTGAATTCAATATAATGCAACTCTAAAGGATGTCTTATGTAAAGAGCAAAATATTCAAGAACAGAAGAGTTTTGTAAGTTTTTTTTATGATTTAACTTTTGAATACAAGTTTTTTTTTAAAGATATAGATGAATTTCTGTGGCAGAAGCTAAGAAAGCTTTTTCTAAAAGCTGTAGTCATATGTAAGATACGAAGTGACTTTTTTGACTACTGTTTCCATTTTTTAGCATGTTTGAAGACAGCTGGAAGTCGTGTTTTCAACAATGGCTGTGAGACACGGTTGAGGCAGATCTTAGACCACACTTTGCCTCTGGAGTAAGCCAGACTCGCCTCGCATAGCTGGTCTCTAGTTCTGTACCCTTGGTCACCAAGTTAACCTTCCCGGATTTTGGTTCTTTTAGAAAAATGAGGACACAATACCCAATACATCATAAGTAAGCAGATAACCCTAAGCTTTATTTCAAACTTTGTTCACGTTTTCTTGGACCAGTAAGAGTCTCTGCTCTGACCAGTGTGCAGAAACACAACTGGGGTAGGGAGGATATCCTTTGCAGAATTCTTTTAAACAGTTCCTTCTTTCCTAATGGTATCACATTTATGTCTGGCAGAAACTACAGCTGGAACAAGTGTTTTGTGCCAGGAAAATACTCTTTCTAAATTAAGGAATAAACTGAGTTTTTTTGTTTGTTTGAGATTCAAATGACGATCATATTTATTTTGCTTTAAATGGCCACAAACATGTCTTTAAAAGTCACTTGCCTAACTCATTGAAGTATTTAGTTTTGGAATCCTTCAGTGTAGTCAAAAAATCAGCTAAACGCAAATCTCTTCAGTCACCTTTAATAAATCGTTAAATTTATTTAAATAATATTTTTAAGAGTATTTTTCTTCTACTCCAAAGAAGTAAGCATTATTGCAGTAATTTCTTTTATTGTTTGGTTGTTTTATAGAGAAATTAAAAATATAAGTAGGAAAATTCATTTGATTGCTTTTGTAGCTCCATACTTTTTAAAAGATGTAGTTGCTAGTGTGTGCTGAGTATTCTGAGTTGTCAAGATCTAAGAGTTTGATTTAACAAGTAAAGAAAAAGTAGTTTCCCATCTCTAGGCTAACCTGTGCATGCTAATTTACTTTATCTTAGGGACCCTGCCTTTCAGATGATTACAGTCACCAAGGAAACAGGCCTTGGTCTGAAGATCCTAGGAGGAATTAACCGGAATGAAGGTCCCTTGGTATATATCCAGGAAATCATTCCTGGAGGAGACTGTTATAAGGTAAAAATGAAAATAAAAATAACCTTTCACCCAAAAAGACAAAACCACTAGTGACGAAGTTTGTTTTCCTACTTCATCAGTAAATTTTTGGTATTAACTGAATGTCCACTGTGACCATTTCTCAGTGAAAAATACAAAGGGACTGGAAGATCTTTACTGTCAAGGAACTTTAACCTAGCAAATGAATAGGAAGTAAATATGAAATAAATATGGAAATAGAAGATTTCAAGCTCTAACTAAAGGTTATATATTTTGAATTATATGCTGTTCAACTTTTATCCTAAGCCTGGTTGAGAGAAATTATATTTGAAGACATGTTAACCATCCACTGCTCAAAGTTAGGGTTAAGTTAGATCACTTAAACTTAAACTACGTTCATTTAGCCTCTCCCAAATGTGAAACAGAACAAAACAAACAAACCAAGCAAATAAAATACTTGTTTCTGAATTTGCAGTAATTCTTACCGCGTTTGTTATGTCACTCACTAGTTGCCCAAATCAGAAATTAGATTTAGAATTACAATTGGAAAATACCTTTCTTAGGAATTAGGAAGCCTTACTCTCCCCTTCACTGTGAGAAATTTATAAATCATGAGTTCCTTTTTGCTCTGGTTGCTAGGAAGCTCAGATCCATACTTGAAGCACAATACCAGCAACTTAGTTAACAAATTGGTTCCTATATTTTCATGCTCATTTATTTCTCTTGAATTTTATTTGGTATTTCTGTTTTACTAATGTGATTTTATATGTCTGTTGTTGAAAATCGCCTCTAGTCCTTTTTGGAGATACAGGATATATAGAATTTAATACAATATTCTGTTAATATCAAGCTTTATGACATGAGAAACGATCCTCCTATAAAGTTTGTTCATAGTTTTGTTCTTCTTATTCTCGTTGTTTTTGTTTTGGTTGAATACATAGTGCTACCCTTACTCCCCAGCCCCACCCCAAACATCATTTAACAAGCAGTTTAGTTATTCATTTGGATTTTTTTCCCCCCTGGTAGAAGAAGAGTCAGTTTAACCAAATAACTTCCAAAACAATAGACTTAAATTGTTTTGAAATGTTGAGGAGTAAGGTATCTTCCAAATAGACTTACCAATTTGTAAGTATTATACAGTAAGTTTAGGATATTATAATCATACAGACTTTTGGCTATTGAATTTAACTTAACCAAATAAGAGCATACTTAAATGCTAAATGTAAACAAATTCAAACAAAAAAAATGAAATTTTTCTTGTAAGAACTGAGATATCTAGCACTGCTTTGAAACTAAACTAAAACCTTTGGTTTTAAAGGTGAGATATGTGTGCATGTGTGTGTATTTATGTGTGTGTATTCAGTATAGCTAAAGTATGTCTTAGATTATACTTGATGTAATGTAATAGATCATGGTACTTGAAAAAGTGATAAGAGTTTACCTTTCAGACAAGCATCAATTTGTGCTTTTTTATACCCATGAAAAATATTTGTAGTTCAAGTAATACATTGATAACAGTGGTAGTGGGTGTCTCATCTGCTGTCAGTGATCACAGACTAAGAAATTATACCCATAATACATACTTTCTTTTGTTGAATTTTCTGAGAATTTCATTGTTTGAAAGGATATTAAAAAGCAAAACCATGTAATAGACTTTATTTTATATGTACCACTAGAGGGCAGCACAGAATTATTAATGTTCTCTGACAGTATCGGTCATGTCCAAGAGAAGAAAACTGCCAAAATAGAGAAGAGTAAGTAGGTTTGACATGCTTACATTTATTTTTGTATTCTTCCTCAAGCTGGAGAATGATATACATATTTACTCTGCAAATACAAATTAATGCAATTCTATTTAAAAATATTTTTCTTAATAATATTTACTGTGTTCTAAATACTGTGTTAGGCTTGTTAATAAACTTACAGTCTGCACAAAATTTCTGCATTGTAGGTATATTCCTAGAATAGGAAACTCACAGGCTCGTAGGTTATCCTTATTAAGTTGCTGAACTGAGCAACTGTTAATATTTTTTAATGCATATGCACACTTTCTCTAATTCTATTTTAACATTATATTGTTTCAGAACTAACAATATAGGCAATCTTAAGCTTGTAAATATATTATATTCCATTTATATTTGCAAACTTCATAGACAGGGGTTATTGGAACTCAGAAGGAATCTTCTTTAATTAATCATGGTTAGCTGCCCCTTCTCCCTCCCACCCTCATACACACACAAAAATGTTTTTCCTCCTGGAAAATATGAAATAAAATATTGGTTCAGTCATCAAAATGTCATGTTTCTTTGAAAAACATACTCAAGTTCAAATTTGGGGCATCTTGATCTTTTTCTGGTTCGGGTAGGAAAGAATATTCTCCCGGCTCTAAGTGCTAGAGATAGCCTATGGATTGAGAACAAATGTATACTAGTACTGAGTTAAGGAAATATGGGAACTCCAAGACCCTTTTCATCCCACCACCTAATCACATGTCTGTCTGGAGTCCTCAGTGTTCAATTTGAGAGCTTTTTTTGGCTGGGAGACTCCAATTGCTTGATTTCCACTTGGATCTCTTAAAGGCATTTCAGACTCAACAAGTCTGAGGCAGGACTCGTGGCAGTCACACTACACCTTCATCTGTCCATCTCTTCCCACATAGACCTTCTTCTAGTGTTCCTAGTCTTGGTGAATGACACCTTCCAGTTTCACAAATTCAGAAGACCTAACAGCATCAGCCTTCCTGATCTCCACTGCTGTCTCCATCGCTTAAACTACCATCAGTTTTTATCAGGCCTCACAATAGCTTAGCCTGCTCTTTGCGTTTCCCTCCTGAACCGTTTTACTAATACCTGCTTACCTGAAGTGCTCTGTGTAGTGTGACTTCTGTCCTCTGTTTCTCTGGCTGTACATCTCTGCCTCCCAGAGTAACATTCATCTAATCCCTGGAAAGGACCAAGTTCTTTCTTCTCTTACATGCTGTTCCCTCTGACTGAGAATAGCTCCTCCCATTACTTCCAAGTGTCAATTCAAAGTCCACTTCCAAAGAGATATATTCCCTGTGCATCCCCCCAAGTCTAGGCGAGTTTTTTTTTTTTTTTAGCTATATGTGCTCCTAGAGCCTGCTCCTTTCCTTTATAATCACTGATCTCAGTTTGTAATCATACATTGATACCTGTGATTTCTTAAGTGCAAGCACTCTATCTGATTTTATTCACAATAATATCCTTAGTCTCCAGTGTGGTACTTGCTACATATTAGTTGCTCAATTAATACGAATGAATGAATGAATGATCCTTTAGTCATTCTGTCATGTTTCTGAGAATGGCTGACCTGCCTGTTTACCATTCCACTGCCACCATCTGGGCTCCACACCAAAGTACCCCTCCTTCCTAGCCCTTTGTTTTGGATTCTGAACAACACTTTGAAGTGTTCAAATGTTTCTGTTTGTTTCTTTATTTCTCTGCAATGATGTAAGGAGCGCAAGGGGGAGTCAAACTTTTTTTTCTTCAAACCTGGTGTATTTCATGTTACTGATGCTAGAAAACACACACACACACACACACACACACACACACACACAGTCGGCCCTCCAAATCCTTGGGTTCTAGTTCTGTGAGTTCAACTAATTTCTGATTGAAAATATTCAGAAAAGAAAATCCAGGAAGTTCCAAAAAGCAAAACTTGAATTTGCCACACAGGCAACTATTTACATAGCATTTGCATTGCATTAGGTATTATAAATAATCTAGTGATGATTTAAAGTATACGGAGGATGTACATAGGTCACATGCAAATACTGTGCCATTTTCTGTAAGGGACTTCAGCATCTGTGGATTTTGGTATCCACAGGGCTACTGGAATGACCTCCTTCGGACACTGAGAAATGACTATACACACACACAAAACAGATATATAGATTGGGAATTACCTACATGTGTACATGTATATTTTTTGTCTCCCTAGCATCTCTAAAATTGAGATGGGTCTTATAATAAATGTCATAGTGTAATATGCAGCACTTTTTTCTCTTAGCATTACATAAAATTATGTCATATCTTATAGTCAATGTCATCTTAGATAGCATAAATTCAGAACTTAAAAAAAATCTTTTTTATTGACGTATAGTTGATTTACAATGTTGTATTAGTTTCGGGTGTGCAGCAAAGTAATTGAGTTATATATGTGTGTGTGTATATATATATGTATATATTTCAGATTCTTTTCCATTATAGATTATTACAAGATATTGAATATAGTTCCCTGTACTATAAGTAGGTCCTTGTTGTTTATTATATATATATAAGTATATGTATCTGCATATATCTGTTAATCCCAAATCCCTAATTTATCCCTTCCCTCCTCTTCCCCTTTGGTAACCATAAATATTTTTCCTATGTCTGTGAGTCTATTTCTGTGTTGTAAATAGTTTCTTTGTATCATTTTTTTAGATTTCCCCATACAAGTCGTATCATATGATATTTGTCTTTCTATGTCTGACTTACTTCACTTAATATGATAATCTCTAAATCCATCCACGTTGCCATAAATAGTATTTCACTCTTTTTTGAGGCTGAGTAAAATTCCATATATATATAGATATATATTTATATATAATATCTATATATATCTCTCTCACATCTTCTTT